CAATTTCTGACGTTGTAGAAGGGCTGTTGCTCCCCTCCCCTCTGGTGCTACTGTCAAAATATTCAAAGTTCATAACTTTGAGGTTGATAATGTGTAAAATCCTAAGCCTGAGCCTAACCTACGCATGGTGAATTTTCATATTGGCAAAATCTCATATCATCGAAATTGCATAACGCCGAAATTTCAGAATATTGAGGTTTTTAGTGCCTGGGAGAACACCTACTCTGATATTGCCACACCAGCAAGAAGAAGATGAGCATGAGCACGACGGTGGCTGCGAGGCCGGCGAGCCGGATCGCCGATGCTGGTTGCATTTTCCTGGATTTCGCGGAGAAGAAGTGGCAAAGCCGAAAGCTAGGCGAGCAGGTCGGTATATTGAAGAGGCAAATCTTATTCAATAGCGGCTAGGTTCAGCAAAATTATGCAAATTCTCTAGGTATACAAATCTGAGCGTTTACGGTAGGTAGAGTGGTAAGCTGGTTCTCAAAATACGGCCGGCGATAAGCATTTCCGTACCAAAATCAGTGATTTGAAGGCGTAAAAATATTTATATTTTGCTTTAGGAGGTAGCGCCGCGCTTCTCAAAGCGTTTCGAGCGCTTTTTTGCGGTCTCCAACAAAACTTTTTCATGCTACTAGGTGAACCGGTTTTTTAGGCTTTTTAAAATTGAAAGTTGTTCGAGTCATTGGCCATTTGCAAAATACCATATCCATTTCATCCCAAAAACATTGATTCGCCAGCGAAAAATACACAAAAACGGCATGGTGAAATCAAAATTTACAGGCGATACATGGGTCAGGGGAGGAGAATCGAGTGGGTCGATTAGTGCCTCTTTTTGTGGCGCCACGTGTAGCACTTCTTCTGCGGGTTCATCGGCGAGTTGAGCTAAAAAAAGCGTAAAAATAGTACCTCGACAACAGTTTTTTTACCGGACACTTGTAGACGCGGGAAAACTCCTTCGAGTTCTTCACCATCTGAAAAAGGTGATCAAAGCCGATAAAATTCCCATACCTCGTTAAGGCGAATATAGCCGGGTGGGTGCCCGTCTGTCTCCAACTTCTCAAGTGCGTCCTTGGTATTGTTGTCACAGAGGAACTAGAGAATATTTTGGGTCCATAAAGTTTTTTAGGGGAAGACCATGGCGGCAGCGACGTAGTAGAGCTGGTCGGGAGTGTAGGCGTCGAGACCAGGGAGTTTTGGCTCCAGTTTTCCGTAGAGGCGCTTGCGCTCCTTACGATAGGCCTGGAAAAAATACTTTAGCAACATCATTACGTAAGAGCCGAGAGAGAGAGAGGGAGAGAGAGAAAGAGCGCGAATGAGAGAGATAACAGGATAGAACGAGAGAGAATGAGAGAGAGAGAGAGAGAGAGATGGATGAGAATGAGAGAGCATGAGTGAGAGTGAAAGAGTGAAAGCGAGAGAGCGAGAGAGAAGGGATTTGCACATAATCAACCGACCCTCAAAGCCACCCGAAGCCCGGCATTGTCGGCGACAGCTTCATCACGTGTTATGTCTCCAGGTTGCTAAAGGCCTGGCCGATCACGAGACCCTCTCCCGACCAACCCTGAAGTCCGTGTTTTCTGGTAGGCCGGCGTTTCCGTATTGTTCCTCGATACACTCGACTTGTTCCTTGAATTGGCCCTTGTCTTCCTCGCCGGCAAGGACGCTCGGTTTAAATTCGATGGCTAAACAGATGATGCAAATCCGGCAATTATGTGTACAAATCTTCCAAAAAAAAAAACAGAAAACCCCTCTCTAACCCGATGCAGAGTATCGGATCGGGATGCTAATTTTCTCGCTTGAAAGCCCTTGATACGGCCAGTTTGCGACAATCTTCAAAACCATCTTTTTATCAAACCCGCGACTTTAAAACGCATTTAAAAACATATTCGTATGTAACGCCAAAAAACCGCAAAATTTTAAAAAATGGCTTGGAAAATAGAGCGTATAATTAAAAACATGATTATGAAGATTGTTGCAAACTCGCCCATTAAAGGGATTTCAAACGGTGAACTATCATTCTGATCCGATACTTTTGCGTCGAGTTAAAGGGATGTGTTTTTTGATGGGGATACCCTGTAATTCCAAACCTCCCGGATCGATGGTGTGTGTCAGCTCGTGACCAATGATCATGCCCAGCCCGCCGTACTGCAACTCGAGTGAGGCATCCGGATGATAGAACGGGGCGGTTAGCAGACCCCACATGATAGCTGGAAAATATTTGTTATGCGACTAGGAAAATAAATGGAGTAACTGGAAAATACTTGAGCCGGTTCAAATCTGTAAAGCTTCTTCTATGAAACTTACAAACAGTGCCGAGCCCGTTGGAGGCGTTCGTATCGCCTTGAAATTCGGTAGTAGGATCCTGAAACGTACGTCGTTGTAGATTAATCTCGTTTTGTCTTCTCTCTCTCTCCCTCGCTCTCACTCGCTCTCTCACTCGCTCACTCTCGCTCTTTCTCTCCCCTTCTCTCTTTCTCTATCGTAAAAATCACCCACCTTCAGTTCCTTCGGGCCGACAAAAGTCCCTCTCTGCCGCAAAAACTCGAACCAATTTTTGGCATTGGCGGGGTAGTACTTTAATTTTGTAGAGTTTTTTGAACTTTGGGACGCTACCGAATTATAATATCTTTCGACATAGGTACGAGGCCACGTCCAGCCGTGGCCGACGGCGAATTGCATATTCGATAGCTGAACTCAGGATCTTGCTTCAATTTCATCTTCTCTCTCGCGCGCGCTCTCTCTCTCTCTCTCACGCTCCTTCTTTCTCTCTCTCCCTCTCTCGCTCTCTCTCTCTCTTTCTCTCGCCCTAAACCTACCGCTTGACTGACGTTTTCCTGGGTGGGTGGGTCGGCCCACGGGCTTTCCTTGATGTGCTCCAGGTAAGCGTCGAACACTTTTTCGTGGAGGTCCCAAAATATTTGTGTGGTAATGGCATTCACTGAATTACGTAGACTGTCTCTATCAGCTCAACCGGATAGAGGTGTTCGCGGAGAACGATGTCTGCCCACCGCGGGTGTAGCTGTATCATCTAAACATCCAGGAGCTCGAGTGACGAAAATATCGCTTGCCTGGCTTGCACAATAGTCGGGTAGTGGGAGGTAGGTCGCCTGGTGCTTCTGAAAGGTAAGATAATGTATCATTAAAGGGACGCGCCTTTAATGCGAATTTGCAATTTTCCGCCTAATAAATTATTTTTTCTATTAATCTACTGCCTCTAATGCCTAGAAACTTCATAGAAAGAAATAGAAGTCGAAATACTGATCAAAAAACGGCCATTTTTGGTCGAAAACTTTTTTTACGTACTTTTTAATGCAAATTTGTCAAGTTTCGACGTCGAGGGATCAACTTCGAAAGCTTCTGTCTACACGAAAATCTACCCCCCCCCCCCATAATGGGAAAGATCCAATAGTGCAGTCAATTAACTGCAGAGCGCTGCGGTCGCCATTAAACCCGGACCTTGCGAATCTCCTCGTATCCGTGTCCAAGAGTATTCATCTGCCCCAAGAGCCACTTCACCACCAGGCCCTCCTTCACGTGATGTTCGTTTGCGAGGTAGAGCGCATTGAGCTAAAGTATAGGGTGTCTAAAGTCTAAAAATGCCCTCCTGGAACTCCGCGCGGAAGTATCGGATCGGCATGATAGTTATACGATTCAAAAGCCCTTGAAACGGCCGGTTTGCAACCATCTTCATTAACATTAAGAAACGGCTAACTGATTAACGGTTACTTCCGGTGATTTTGCTTCGAGAAATTGCGGAAAATTAGCTCGTATGCAACCACGAGAGACCGGTAAATTATGCCAAACAGCTTGTAAATCAGCGGGTTTAAATAAGCACCTTATTTTGAATGTTGTTGGAAACTCTGTTGTAAGGGCTTTCGAATGGTATAGCTACCATTGCGATCCGTTACTTTTGCGTGGAGCTAGCGGCGGACGTGTTTCGTTGTGGGCACACATTTTTAATGGTCACCTTCTTGAAATAATCGATGCTCTCGACTTGGAACTGCAGCTCCATTCGCGGGAAGAGGCCCCTCATCATCTCCAGGATTTTCAACTAAACAGGACCGTAGTCATCGGAAATAAATTCTTGGTTTTATTGCATTATCGGGGGGGACCAAATTTTACCTATTCTTCAGAAATTTCAAAATTTCAAAATTTTGACTAGAATCGGGTCGAAATGTCGAGCCGGCCCGATGAAAACTCTGGCAGTGCAATAAGTGCAGTTTACCCCTCGCCCCCTTAGCCGGCACCCACCTACCGTATCTCGGCTCTCTGTTCATCTACAGGTGTGTAAAGTATACCAAAATGCTCGCCAGAGCAAGACAAACATTTTGGTATACTTTACACACATGTAGATGAACAGGGAGCCGAGATACACAAGTTGGGTGTCGGCTGGAGGGGGGGGGGTAAACCGCACTCTACCCAAAACTCTACCCCCCGCTAGCGAACAAAAACCAAATACGAAATTTATTTCAAGCAAGAGCAAACTAAAAATTTAAAATGTAAAATTTTCAAACCCTTGTTTGAAAATCGGCTGCTAATTCGAGATAGCGATTGATCTAACGGGGGTCCTTTTATCCCCGGTGGCCTGGAATACCCTACATTCGGAAATTGCTCCGTAATATCTTCTGCATCCATATACAATAGGTCCAAATCGGTCTCATCTCGAATCTATAAAATCAATTTTCAAGAAAAACACAAGGCGGCCATCCCACCCTGTGCAAATCCGCGAAGAAAGCCCGATATTCAGCATCATCAGCCATAGTCTCGTGGCTGCTGCCAAAGTCTTTGTGGAGTTGTGCGAGGAACTAAATCGACGGAATAACTATTTTTTTCAATAACGAAAATAGAATTTTTGTTGACGATATAAGAACGTGGCTTGCCTTAAGAAAAATTTAGAACGCCGTTTGGGGGTGGCGGATTTTAGCGCGGGGTGGGGGAAACAAGTTTTCCACAGACAGTAATTATTTTCTACGCCATATACCAAAATAGAAGCCATTTTCATGGAATTTTACATTGTTTTTCAATACAAATATTTGCAAAAAATTATAAATGTTTTCAAAAATTTTGAGTTTTTTTTTGGTGCAAAAAGGTATGAAATTGACCAAAAACCATCAAAATTTTCAAAATTTTTTAAACGATTTTTATAGCCTTCTAGCGACTACTAGTGACTACTGAGAGCGACCGCCACTAAACTTAAACCCTTTTACAAAATACATGATATATCATCAACAGGCAGTGCAAAAACAAAAAGCGGTACCCCCGCTAACAGTCCAGAACCAGGGAACCCACCTCGTCGATCATGCGGTAGTGCCGCGCAATTTGCTCGTCAGTTTGCTCCGGGACGGGCTGCAGGATGATGGCAACCACAGGAAGATGGATGTTGTCGCTGGGCGCCGACGTGTAGGAATAAAGTGGGAACGAGGTGGCGCCGGTCAGCTTCAGCAGCTCGCTCATCGCCGGACGGGGCTTGTTGCTGAAGGGGAGGCCGCCGATGGCGAGCAACGTTTCGCGTATCGCGCTGGAAGTGGGGGATTGATGCTGAGGTCTGATGGTTACCAGAGTTTACATTGTCAGAGAAAAGCGATGGATAGGTAAAATTTACAGATTTGATTAATTCAATTTTTTTCCTTACTTTTTTCAAGAAAAAGCGCTGCGGGACGGGAAAAACGGGTTTTTTAGTGGAGGGTCCCATTTTTTTTTGTTTTTCCACCTACATTGTATGCCTAGCCATTGACGATAAACAATGTATCTTTACATTGTTTTTAATAGTTTTTGATTGCTAGAAAATCATAAAAAATATCTTAAAACTATTTGAAAAATCGGAAATTTATACCTTCTTTGGCTATTTTTCATGCACTTTTGGCCAAAAGGCCAAAATTTCGAAAGGTTTTATGGTTTTTTATTGGGGGTTCTATATCTGAAACTATGTACAATGCTATAAAATTCCTTTAAATTTTGTTATAGGGCCGCAACACGAGGAAAATTTGATTCCCCCCCGCTAACAGTCCATAACCACTAAATATAAGCCGAGCCGGGCAACAGGCCGCTTTCCGGAATTCAGAAACTTGGAAATGCTTTTCAGAAAGCATAGATTCCCACTCGAGGCCAGTCCGGTTCGTCTCCATGCAAAGCTGGTACGTCTTGGTCACCTTCCGGTCGGCCCCGGTGGCCGTTTTGTTCGACGGGACGGCCTTCAGGAAGTCTAAAAAACTTTTACGAGGATCGAATGGGGTCTTGTGCAGCACAACGTGACACGTCCGCGATACGCAGCGCGACACGCAACGCGACACGCATCGCGACACGCATCGCGACACGCAACGCGACACGCAACGCGACCGCAACCGGACACGAAACGCGACACGCCACGCATCACCCACCAGCAACACGCCCGCGAACGCAGCGCGATACGCAGCGCGACACGCAACGCGACACGCAACGCAACCGCAACGTGACACGCAACCGGACACGAAACGCGACGCGCCACGCATCACCCACCAGCAACCGTGTTCCGTACGATTTCCTCGACCACCGGGATGAAGCCGACGCGCTCTTCGCCTATTCCATTGCGCAAAAACGGGTGATCCTGGAATTGTGAAATTGGCGGGGGTGAACTTCGAGTGAACCGAGTCCCATCTAACCGATTTTCCTCCCTCTATACTTACCCGTCAATAATCACTAGTTTGTTTGGTAGTACTTTTCGATTGTTAGAAAGTTACAAAAAAATGTCTTAAACCTCTTCGAAAATTCGAAACGCTTGAACTCTCCAAAAAGTCAAAAATGTTCGAACATTTTGATAGGTTATGGTGTTTGTAGTGTAGTTAGTAGTAGTAGTAGTAGTAGTAGTAGCAGTAGTTAACTAAAGGAACTTGCCACAGGCAAATTTGTAGAAATCCTGGCACGGGTCGGCGGTCGGGAGGATCATCGACAGCTGAAAGTCATAGTCGATGAACTTAACATCTTCTACACTCACAAAAGTCTCGGCTGTCTTGCACCCATCGGTCCTACAGTAACCGTCAGCATCGACCGGTGGATGTGTAGTGCTTGTAGAAGTAGTGCCCGTAGATGTAGTCGCACGAGTTGTGTTTGTAGATGGTGTCGTCACGGGCGCACCGGTCGACGCCGTCCTCGTCGTGTTCGGCGCTTGCTGGCTGGACTTCGTCGGGGCAGGCAGGTCAGGGCGCCGCTGTTTTACTAGAAAAAAACGCGGTTGAAGTGTAACTCTCTCCTTCCTCAGCCGACCCCACCTACCGTATCTCGGCTCCCTGTTCATCTACAGGTGTGTAAAGTATACCAAAATACTCGCCAGAGCAAGACAAACATTTTGGTACCCTTCACACACCTGTAGATAAACAGGGAGTCGAGGTACAAAAGTTGGGTGCCAGCTGGGGGGGGTAAACTGAACGATTACCCGCACTTTTCAAAACGTTGACTTCAGGAACCTACGTGCAAGCTCCCGAAACGCGACGCTGAAGACGATGATGGCGATGAGCATGATGGGAAAGAGGCATAGCTTCGCGGGGCCGTTGCCCATCTTTCGGAATACCGCGGAGTGAACCGTTCGAATGACGGGATTTCGGGAATTTATGCGCAGCAGCAAAATCTTTATTCAAATCCGAGTTTCACAGCGCGACGGGGTCAAGTGTAAAAACGCTATGAAATGTAACCCGTACTGTTTGCCTCCAAACACCCAAGAACAAATTTATTCATCCCCGGAAAGTACATAATCAATAGCCAAGGTAACATCATAATAATAACAGGGCCCTTGAGGTTGGTCTATTAGTGCTTCCTCTTCTTGTAGCGCCACACGCGACACTTCTGCTCCGGGTTCATCGGCGAGTTCAGCTGGAACGGCGTCATTTTCAAAAATCTCGGTTTCCCTACAGGGCACTTGTAGACACGGGCGAATTCCCTCGAGTTCTTCACCTCCTAGAAACTGCCGGTTAAAGCTCCAGGTTCAAAAACCTCATTAACACGAATGTAGCCCGGGGGGTGTTCGTCGTCTTTGTTCTCCAGCAGATCGTCATCGCTCTGCTCACCGCAATTGATCTAGACTATTGTGATTTACGGGTGTTTGGCAAAACCATGGCCGCCGCCACGAAGAAGAGCTGATCGGGGGTGTAGGCGTCGAGTCCAGAGAGTTTTGGCTGAAGTCCCTTGTAGAGGAGCTTGCGCTCGTTGCGGTAGGCCTAAGTTTAGGACTTTCCACTACTGTTCGAAGTAAGCGAGAGAGAGAGAGAGCGAGAGAGAGAGCGAGAGAGAGCGAAAGCGAGCGAGAGAAAGAGAGAGAGAGAGCGAGAGAGAGCGAGAGACCAACCCTGAACGCAGCGCGCAGCCCGGCATTGTCGGCGATGGCCTCATCATGGGTCAGTTCCCCGGGTTGCTGAAACGAAACTCAGTAGTACGTTAAGCGCCAAATTCCGCTAATATTAAATTGCCTACGCTAAAAGTTTCATTGTAGCTATCCAACGGCATGATGGCATTTTCGTACTGATGCTCGATGCATTTGACTTGTTCGCGAAATTGGTGCTTGTCCTCCTTGCCGACGAGCACCGGGCTGTTTTTTATGACTAAAAAAGTGTTTATAATCTGGGGTATCGATTTTTTTAATTAATAGAGCTTTAAAAACGCAGCTGTCATGTTTCCCAGAAGCGACATTTTTTTTGTATTTTTTTTTGGGCGGCAAGTTAATGAGTTTAACCAACATTCCGGATCGAGCCGAGTGTTCCATCTCGAATCCAATGATGTGCGACCCAGCCCTCCAAAGCGCAACTCCAACGACGCGTCGTCGTGGTAGTACGGCGTCGTCATGAGGGTCCTTCCACTGAAGCTCTAAAAGAGGAGCTAATACTATGAAAAGGCACCCGCGAGCAGATCGAAGTCACCGTTAGACGCGCTCGGTATTGCCATGCATCTCGTCGTCAGCGTTCTAAAGCGGGTCGGTTTGCGTCAAATTTCGGGGCCTGAGGTAGGTAGAACTCCGGAAAGCCAGAACAGCTTAAGGTCGTCGTAAAGGCGAACCAGCTGTTCGCGTCGGCGGGGGTGTACTGAAATTAGTAGTGGTACTGCTACGGCGTCCAGAGTGGCAAG